CAACTTGCTGACCTTGACCGCTTAACCTGCGATATCTTGTTTCAGCATCAGAACCTTTTTTCAAAGTAGATAGTGCTAATCATTATAATTTTATTTTAAAACTAACTTCTGAAATATAATTTGTTTTTTCTACATTTATTATTAATATATACAAGGTGTGACAATTTAATTCCAAGACTGGTTGTGTAGCACTGCAGTATCAGTGTGCAGAAACTTGTCTAAGCTTGTCATAATAGTTCAACCATCTGGCTACTTGTCTGCAAAGATTTGTTTGTGTCTCGTAACTAGAGGATTTGATCCCGGGATCTCGAAAATCGGGATCCCGGGATCCCGACTGCTTTTCAGTCCCAAAATTTTCGGGATTAAGTTTTCCTAATCCCGAGATTTTCGGGATTGACATCATTTTAAAAAAGTTCCAAAATAGACTGCATGAAGCGAAACGTTCAGTGCCAGTGCTTTTAACAGAATTGCTTGCCTATCATTTTAATATAAAATACAAGAAATTTTATTCCAAGCAAGCAGCAGAAATTAACCTAGCGGGCTTGCGATGCTTGCTTGGAATAAAACTTCTTGTATTTTGAACTAAAATGATGGGCAAGCAGTTCTCACTGGGTTACTTGGTAATATACTTCATTTTTGTATTTTTGAATTTTCGCGGGCGCCAATCGATTTTCTGGCGCAGTCGAGAGCACTACTCAGTGCGTTTTACCTGTCAATGTGTCAGCCATCTTGTTTTGCCAGTGTGGTTAATATAGACCCGACGCCTCTCGCTTAGGGGGGTCGACCTTAGGTGAAAAGGTTACGACCCCCGCCTTGCCCGTGATCTGTCAGGATGATGCGAGAAAGTCTTTTTACGTTTGGGAGTAGTGGTTTGCTGGATGCTGAGAGACTCACACAGAGACCGAATTTACAAAATTAACGTGTTTATTTTTAGAAAGGCATGCTTACAATGATCGAAACAATCGGGATTGTAGCCTTTACTCCTACAATCCCGATCTGTGTCGACCGGACTGTTTTCTTCCAACCTCCCCGTGTCCTCGAAGCTATAACTAGAACGGGCTTATAAGTATTTACTAACGATTCCTCCAACTTCCATCAAACCTAAACGCGTTTTCTCAGCAGCTGCATATATGTGCAACAAATTGAGAAGCAGACTTGGTGATGAGACACAGGATGCGTTGTTATTTCTCAGATCATATTTTCGCAATTCAAATTAGAATGTTCCTATTAGATTAGTTTTCTTTATATTTAAGAAAAATGTGACTGATTAATATTATTTTTAAATACTTTTTGCTAAGAAACTTATCTTACTACCTACTTACTAGGTTGCTATATGAAAGTAGTCTATTTAGTCGATGTTAAGAGAGATTTTTGTTAATTTTCAACGTTTATTTGCATAGTTTGTTACATAAAGGTTTTTTCAATTTATGTGAGTTTAAAGAGATCTCAGTGATGCTTAAAAAAGAATAAATTTAACATGAAGACTGAGTGATTTTAAGTCTGGTTAGTCTGACTCTGAGTCTGATTAGTTAGAGTGATTAAATTAGCTAGGTGTATACTGTAAAATATGTTGATTTTTGTCTAAATTTTGATTTGTTGATTTCTGTAAGATTTTCTTATTTTTTATTAACCCTCAATACCGAAATAATCCCGGGATCCCGGGATTGACTAAGTATAATCCCGAAATCCCGGGATTAGAAATAAGGACCGGGATCGAATTCCCTACTCGTAACATGTTCTTTTTCTGTACTCCATTCACATATTGCTGTGCTATCATGCTTTTTTCATGGAACAAAAAGTGAACATTAAGTTTTGTTACAAGTTGGGTAAAAGTGCAACAGAGATGTACGCCCTCATCATGCAAGTTTATGGGATTGATGCCCTATCCCGCTCTCGTGTTTTTGAGTGGTTTGCTCGTTTCAGGGATGGTCAGGAATACCTTGAGGACGATGCTTGCCCTGAACAACCTCAATCAGTTCGAACACCAGAGAACAGCAAAAAAATCAGAGACTTGCTGTGATATGACCGTCGAATGTCTATTCGGATGATAGCAGAGACAACTGGTATTAATCTAGAGACAACTCGTCGGGTTAGGCCTCAGTTTGCAGCAGGAGGAAGCCAGGTACTGCTGGCTTCCTCCTTCCCTTGCAATAGAAGGCAATCAGTTCGAACACCAGAGAACAGCAAAAAAATCAGAGACTTGCTGTGATATGACCGTCGAATGTCTATTCGGATGATAGCAGAGACAACTGGTATTAATCTAGAGACAACTCGTCGGGTTAGGCCTCAGTTTGCAGCAGGAGGAAGCCAGGTACTGCTGGCTTCCTCCTTCCCTTGCAATAGAAGGCAATCAGTTCGAACACCAGAGAACTATTCGGATGATAGCAGAGACAACTGGTATTAATCTAGAGACAACTCGTCGGGTTAGGCCTCAGTTTGCAGCAGGAGGAAGCCAGGTACTGCTGCATGACAATGCCCGCCCACACACTGTGACTGTTGTCAAGGAGTTTTTGGCCAAACGTGGCATTGTGGAGTTGAATCACCATCCATACTCACTAGATTTGTCGCCTTGTAACTATTTTTTGTTTCTGAAAATCAAAATCACATTGAAGGGACAAAGATTTAACGATCTGGAGGACATACAGCACAATGTGACCTAGGAATTGAGAGCTGTCAACGGAAGTGACTTTGCCGAGTGCTTCAAGAACTTGTACAAGCGTTGCAAGAAGTGCATTGCCCTCCAGGGGATTACTTTGAAACATATTAAAAGAGTTTTTCATTATATGTTCTTTGTGTTCTTTTATTACTCCAGTCCTGGAATTTAATTGTCACACCTTGTATATATATATTGTTTGTGCAAAATAAAAAAATAATTTTGGACGATACGATAGCCAGGATTATTTTTTTCAAAAGCAGGAAATTTTCATTAGGCATCAACAAAACTTTAACCCAGAGCAACACACAACATTGAGAAATTTTAAAATTTCATAGGTTAATTTCACCGAAGATACATTGTGGATGACCTTGTGGTCGTGGCCGGTGAAGTTTGAAAGATCGCACTCAAAACCGGTGATACCAAAGAAGATTGGAGAATGAGAACGAGACCCGTCTTGAGCATCAAAGTGATTCTGCTTAGTAGTGAGTCTCTGAGACAGTCTTATCCCAAATATAGCCTTGCCTTTTTACTTGTTTTTTGGATATTAACATTCATCTCAACAAGGGCTGTGTAGAAATGGGCATTTTTTACAAACCCTGCTACTTACCAATATTTATTCTGGCAAACTCTTATGGCCCTTTCTCATATAAAGTGGCAGCCTTCTGTTTTAACAAGACAGACCTATACATGCTATAATAATTGGAAAGACATATTGATAGAGCTAAAACATCTCAAGGACATAGCTGTAAAACATGGGTATAGAAGGAGCCTTTTACATAATTTATTCCACACCTACTCTAACCAACAAGCCACGTGCAACATCTTCAACACTCAGGGGACTTCCAATAGAAGGCAAGCATGCAACTCTAACTCCAGGCACACAATAGTAGAGTATAACCAGCATTCACATACCATATATAAAGGAATCACTGACAGTACAGGTACTCAGCTTGCATACAACAGGGCCCACACGATATATAAGTTATTATGCAATGGGAAGGACAAGACAGGTGAATGTAGAGCCCCAGGGGTGTAAAGTGTTCTTGTGAAGGACAACTGATTCCAATGGAATTTAGTTTGCATTGGGTCCACTAAATGCTCAATACAAAAAAGGGTGCAAGAACATCATTAGTGCATTTTATACATAAGGTACACATTTCAATTTGGAATTTTGTTAATTTAAAGACATGATGCAGATCTTGGTTGAGGTCAAAAACGTTTGTCAAAAGTTTTTTATTAAAGAATTTTTATTAGTGAACTTTAAAGGTTGTTTACAGTGCATTTGTGATTCATTCCAGTATTAAGAAGGTAATTTTAATTTTCTAAAAACAGATTTAAAAACTGATGATAGCATATAGGGATAGGCTGAAAACATTTGTTAAAAAAAAATTCTCTCAACAAATGCACGGGTGTTGTAGTAAGTTTGTAATAAATAATTGTTTTGAGAAAAAGAATTTTCTTTATAATTTGAATTTATTATTAAGATTATTTAATTGTTAATCATTTTCCTGATAGTCCATTAGCGATAAACAAAAATTTAACTGAACAGAACAGATCATAGAATGAACACACCAATAATTGATTATTCCAACTTTATTATACAAGTAAATGCATTTCATTCTATAATAAAGTTGGAATGCCCAATTACTGGTGTGTTCCTTATATGATCTGTTTTCTTCAGTTAAATTTATGCATATCACTATTATTAAAGTTTTTTCATTTAAATGTGACATGCATTACTGATGTAACATTAAAGATTTGTAAATGAAATTTTTTAAGAACTTTATAAAGTTATGTAATGGTTATATAACTTATGTAACTTGTGACAATTTAAACATCTTTAAAATCTGTTTTGATGAGATATTAAATATTAAAATATTTATCAATTATTTTATTTATACTTATTTATTTATGTTTTTTAAATTAACAACATAATGTATGATTGCTGTTTTTAATTAATATTTTTATTGTTCAATTGATTTTCTATTTTGAACATTAATGTTTATTAAATGATATGAATTTATTATGTTTCTTACAAAAATTTACATGTGAAATAAATGTGAAATGGTAAGTTATTTTTAGGTACAATATTCTGATTTATTTTGCATTATTTAAAAGATAATACAACATTATGTTGTTATAGAAATTTTTTCTTTAAATCAACAAATGGTTAAATTTTAAATGATATCATGAAAAGTTTTATGAATTGAAATACAGTATATTGTAATGTTATTTTTGACACAAGTTTTATCAATATTCTTTCTTAGATGATGTGTTTTATAATGTGATTTACAGTATTTTCTTTCAAGATATGTCATTATTTTAAAATATTTTTTATTATTAGGTATGATAAGACTGCAAAAAAGAAGAGCCATTTAAGAAAATCTTTAAAATCAAGTAAAAAATCACAACAAAGAGATTCTAGTGCAGATTCACATATAAGAAGATCAAGAAGAGATCAATGTGAATCTTTAAAGGTATGAGCAATATAAAACATTTTTTTCAGATATTAAATTCAGTATTAAGCTTTAATTTAAAAATGATCAATCATCTATTTCATAAAAAACTTATTTATGTATAAACATAATTACATAATAAAACAACCATTTAAATTTGATTTTTAAATGTTTACGTATTGATGATTTTGTCTTATTTTACACATGGTAGATGGAATTTGTTCTGTTGAGTTAAAATTGAGTTATTCATATTCTAAAAAATATCCTTATAAAAATGTAAATAATTATATTTCTTTTAATTTGAATCAAAGTTTTATGGTTGTTTTATAATTTGAACAGATACAGTCAAGAACTAGTTTTAAGTTCAGTTAGCTCTCAAAAATCAAATATCTTCTAGACAGAATTTATATAATAATAAAGTTATCAAACTTTTATATGATTGACTATTTTTGCAATTTTTGATTGCATAAAAACGGAAGTTGAAATTACCGAAAATGATAAATTTGTTTAGTAAATCAATTTTAAAAATTTTATATTTAAATAAAATATTAAATAATAAGATATATATCAAAGTACCCAATATGTTATTTCTTTGAAGATATAGATTTTTGGTAGAAAACTGCATTAGATAGCTGTTTCTTAACAGCAGCCTATTTTTTTCTGGAATGCAATTATATGATTATAAAACAATTTATTTGTTGGCTCATGCAGTCTGGGTGAACAGATATATCAAAAGCAGGTGAGGTTTTCTTGTGTTTGTTTTTTTCCAAAAAATTATAAATTATCAGATACTGTTATATAAGAATAGTTATAATTAAATTTTAATGTTGGATAAATTAATAAAATGTCGTATTATAAACTAATTACAAACTGTAAAATAAATGGTGAAATTATTAATGAGAATATAAGAATATAATATAATCAGTATGACTTTATCTATAAATTATTTTGATAAATTAAATATAATAAATATGTGAAAGTAGAAATTGAAAAATATCGATTTAAAATGATCTACTTGTATTGCTGACATAAAATATTCAAACTGGTAAAAAAAATTACAATTTTTTTTTCCAGTTCGAATGGTTCTTAGTAAATAAGTTACATGGATCATATATTGGCTGCAATTAAGATTTTTGACATTCAATGTTTCTCTCAGGCTGAATGTTTTAAAAATAACAAATGAGAACAAATGTAAACTGATTTCAAACATATATTTGGAATTCATTTTGAAATATTTAAAAAGCATTCTTTATTCAAATCAATTTTATATTTGTTATTTTTGAGACTCCAGTATCAAAACGTGTTTATTTCAGCTAATGAAGAACTTTTATAATTTGTTCAGTTTTATTTTTCTTTTTGTTTATAAAATATGGAGTTGACAAATAATAAGATTATTTCAGTAAGAACATCTAACTCTAACTAATCATTTAGGGTAAGATTAAATATTCAAATATAATAATAATAATTTTATTTTAACTATTTAATTAACAAAATTAACCATTAGGTAATGCGTCTTATACTGGGTGATCAAATAAAGTTTACTGTCAAGTAGGTTTGGAAATGCTATACGCTGGCCATATTTTTTTACTAATCTGATATATAATGTGATAAAAGCTTATATCTTGAACATTTAATTTACTATGAAATCTATAACATTTGAAACTTGCTGGTAATGCCAAGTTTGGAGGTGATAGTCTTTATTCCTGCAAGTAAGCTTTCCATTTGATTATCTTATAATTATATCACGGTTATTATATTATTATCATAATCATTATTATTATTAATCTTCTTCTTTAAGTATTGAAACAGCACAATTTCAATTACAGTATCTGTGTTAATATCTTACCAAGACTAATTAGAAACATTGAACTCTTTACAACTCTTTGTCCCTAGGGTGGTGTCAAATTGTGGCCTTTGTAGAATGATGAGATGAGTGTTAATGATAGAGGAAAATTAAAAGTTTTTAAATGTGGTTTTGGCTTGTTATTCTAGTGTAAATAAATAAACACTTTGGATAAATATATATATATATATATATATATACAGGCAATATATA